TCAACATGCAGGCCAGCAACAACAGCTACCTACCTGGACAAAAATTAAGCTCGAATGTTTGGTATCAATGCAGACTGCCGTTCGGTGTGTTGCTTCATTATAAAATCGAGGGGCTACTTTGAGGCTCTGGTGGGCGCTCCACAAGGGAGGCGATGGATGTAGGTGAGAACGGCACAGAAAGGAACAAGGGGTGCATGATAGGTGCTGTTGCATCCTCGTTTGCTTGGCAGCCTTACACCCTCATCCCTAAAGCAGAAGAGGTTAGCTTCTGCTTCCAGGGGGAGGCCAGCGGGAGATGGGCTTTGGGAGATGGGCATCTCAGGAGCTGGTACTCAAGGGAGGAGTGTTCGAAGGCTTAAGAGTACATGTTGCCAAGGCGGGAAGCATCAGGGTTTTAAGCATCATCAAGTTTTGCATCATCTTGGCTTTCCCCAACAACAAATGGGAATGCAGAAAATTTTGAGTCAACAGCTGCTTTAGAGTTGAGTTTTTGTTCGTTCAGGGTGTGGTCGGTGTGGTCGGCAGCGGTTCACCCGTTAAGGATTCAAGCTTCGCGGTTGAGAGGCGCATGCTTGCTTGGTGATGGCAAGGGCAGTACCTAGACCTCCATATCCTACCCGTTTTGTTGGGTACCTGGTTTTGTATAAACAGAAGATGCTAGACGTAAAGTTGGGTATCCTAAAAAGCCTACAAACGGGCGTCTAAACAAAGCGTGCGAATCAACTGTTCGGCTGATGACTGCAGTTGTTGCACACGGAAGAGGTCAACGTTGCGTTTTGAGCAGTGCAGTCAGGCAGGGCTTCCAAACTAGGTGTCGCCTTTATCTTGCAAACATACGCCACCTCCAAACCCCAAACCCCCAGACATTTACAATTATTGTTGACCTCTAGTTTTAGCCCCATGGCCAAGCGTGCAAACTTTGCGGTCCAGGATTATCCTTGACAAGCAGGGGTTTCTGAGGCCCCACTCGTGGTAGTTTCCATAAATAGGGGCTCCTAATGTAGACCTCAAAATGCTCAACTCCTTATTATGGGGACCCCGAAACTGCTACCCCTAACATTGGGAAATACCCAAGCGAGCAGGTTTTCCTGACGTTGCAGTTCTTGGTTCGGCGAGGTGTTGAGGCCGCTCCTACACAGGCACAGATGGGTGCAGTCCTACAGGGGTATGTAGCAACATGCAAGGGCATTGGGTCTACTTGGAGTGGCAGGGGGACTTGGTAACTATTTTTAGAACCCCTATAATCCTCATAGCAACCGAAAAAATATACCAATACTTGACCTGCTTACTAACTCCCCTTGACCTTCCAAGTACGCGGTCTAGGGCTTAGGGGTAGGTTCCAGATTTAAGGTCTCTTCAAATATTTGCGGCAGGCGGGGGACGTCCTTAATCGGGTTTGCAGGCTTCGTGAGGATACTGGTGGGTGTGCGTGTTGGATGCCCCGTCGAGGCTTGTCCGTAGCAACGTCCCCGGCTGTCTGGTTTACCGGAAGCTTGACCATGGCTCAAAAGGTTCTTGGTAGGGTCAGGAAAGCACAGCACAGGTTTGCAAAGAGATTGTATGGAGACTGTGTAGATAGGATCCGGAGGTCTGGAGTCAAAGCTGTTGGGTGATGATGCTGATCTGTGCTAAGTCGGGCAAGTTGCAGATTTGTCCCAAATCGCACCTATGGCACCGGTATCCATACTTATGAAGGATGAGTGGGGCTTCCATCTGTCCAAGGATGTTTTCCCCCGTTGGCTATAACAGTTCTTACTTAGACATGGCAAGAACCTTTCTCAAGCTCTACCTATACCTTGCGATCCTGACCATCCTATTATAGTGCCCCTGAAGAGATGATGGAAAATGGAAGTGCCCAATATTCTACGAATATCCCCATAATTTCCTATATACCCGGTATTCTATCTACTTAGGGTGGGACTAGAACAATTGACCTGAGCCATAAGCATCTACATCCGAAAGACTTGGTGCTTGTTAGTTGTAGGGAAGAGTACGGGATGAAGGCATGGACAAGAAATTGGAGGCTACCAATGGGGTTGTATAGATATCCATTCCTCCGTTCCCTACTAACCCGAAGGAAGCCTTGCAGTTGCCACTGGAAACTGTGCCAACTGTGGCGAGATCCAGCTGGGGCCTTACTGCATTGTGTTTTTGCATGGGAAGAAAGGCCAGAAGCCATCAAGCTTCTCCTCTGGGTTGTGTTTGAGGGCCTGTGCCCTGAAGTGGGAAGGTTTTTTGGGGGTGTATTTGTGTATTGCTTGTACAAGCTAAATGGGATGTAGATTTTGAAGCAGACTTACTAAACTTAAAGTCACGATAGTCGTCCAATTTTGTGCTGGAAAGTTGCGTGTTGGTCACACCGGACCAATACCGTACCTCTGGAATGACTTCGGCAGGTTGGTGTTGCCAGCACTTTGGCACGCAGATTGCCGGTCGCAGCTGTATAGTTTTATGACGAGAGTGAGCAGAGCTTCCCTGCACTGCACAGGCAACATCTGCCATGGAGCCTCGGCATCGCCAGAATGCCCAGGTATTTGCAGAGATGGAATTCAAGCAATTTATTCTTCTGCTCGGCCAGCTGCTGTTTTTTGCTTTTTTGAATTTGGTAGATTTCGTGACAGACATTTTGGTTTTGCTGCAGCTCTCTTGCGTCACCGAGTCGAGCATCAAGCAGGAGTGTGAGTACTCCAATTTCACGTGTGACACTGGTGCATTTTGCTCTTATGCGACCGTGACTTACACAGCTGATGAAAATGACGACACCTGCGTGGTACACGCTGCGTGGTGTCTTTTGGGTTCAGTAGCTCAGGATACGTAGTCGGCAAGTTTTAGCCTTTTGGGTACTATCGCTCCAAGATGCCTCCAGAGCTTAATCGTACTTTGGGTGTCCCAGAATAATGAGCAACTTAGGTCATACTCGTTTGCTCTTCGATGGCCTCTGCAGTAGCTTACCGTGCCGCTTTACGGGCAGAGCCAACCCGAAAGTCACTTTGGTGTGGCTTCTTGGCCGCCTTTTTCCAGATTGCACCATTTTTGGACATCATAAACGTTCTTCGAGCAGGCAAGTTGGAAGATAAGAAAAAGCAGCAGATGCTGCGCTGGGACTTCGTCCTCAAGCTAGCAGAGTCTGTGCCACAAGCTTTCCTCCAGTCATACATTATGTTTGCTTCAGCCACACACATGCAACCATTGAATCTGGTCTCGGTGACCACCTCTGTTACCAGCGTTGCCATGTCCTTGTCACTGCAGTTGCCGAAGATAACCCCTGCCAACAGCGTGGAAGCATCAGACGCATTGGCTCCAGGATCAGATGTGGCAGATCTGCCAGCGGTTCATGTGCAGACGTATGGTCTTCGAGAAGAAGTGCAGATAAGCTCTGGGGCTTGTCGTAGGGCTGGCGATAGCCCGTCAGACCATCATGAACAGCGGGAGTATGCCCAGGATGGCCAGGAGGACCAGGCTGCCGATGTTTCGTCGCCACTACATGAGTTGATGCTGTGCAAGGCCACTTTCTTTGTGTACTTGGCATCTGACTTGGTCTTGCGATGCGGGGCCTATGCCATGCTTATGTCGCCGTTCGCCCGACACGTTGGATTGGCCACCATCCTCGGCTTTAGCCTGTGCCAATCTGTGGCAGGATACCACTCCGTGTGGTGGAAGCTTTTACGACCAAAGCTGTTCCGATGTCTAAGAGGATCGGATGACGTGGACAGCAATGGGACAAAAGTGTCGACAAACCTTGTAGTATTTGCATCTGGTCTCTTTTTGTCATTCATGATAGGCTTCGCCTTCGGATACTCGATGGTCTTCATACCTGGTGCTTTGGGGATTTGGTTATTTTTACTGACCCTCCCGACCATAATCCTGTCAGCAGTACCGGTCGTTGTGACGTTCGAGCGGCCGCGCCGAGACAAGGCAGGTTTCATGGGCGTCCGTCTCCTTGAATACCTTTGCTTCGGCAGCTTGACCGCACTGTTGCGAAGGATCTTGTGCCAGTATGGTAGGGATTGAGGGCATTGTGGTTTAGCCACGGTCCTAATTATTGAAGACGCTGCAATCTTTTGTCACGTTTTCAACGTTTGGATGCCTGTTTGCCACGCTGCTAACTTGAACACCACAATTCACTACAAGTGTTTCTGTCTTGTGTGGTTGCAGTTTGTCTTCTGGTGCGATCCTGAAGCTGTTAGTCCACCTTGAGCTCATCTACACAGGCCTGTGATATACCAGTGACATGACGATTTCGTGACGAGGAAGCTAGGAGTGGGAAGACAAATTGCACTGACGCCTTTGGCGTATTCTATACCATGGCATCACAGGGTAGTTCACTGCGGTATTCAGCTCCTCCTTATTGGCCGTGGCTCGCTGTCGACGTTCGTGCGTGGGCATTTTGTCTTTCAGCAGGTCTCTTCAGGATCCTGATGCGTGCGTGTAGGCAGGTTGGCTCAGCAGGGTTTATGCGCCATTATAGGAAGCGCAGCGCCTGACGATCTGAAGCCTTTCGGGCTGCAGAGCATTGCGCTCAGATCGTTTTAGTATTGGGCTCTTGAGCACCGCAGACAAAATATGTTTTATTGTAGAATCTTGCAGCCACACATGTCGAATCGACTTGCCGTGCCCATTTCCACTGAGGCATCGTGCTCTCTGCGAATGGGCACACTTTCTGTGGAAAGCCACTTGACTGGGAGACTGCCGCATTCTTCGCCTCTCTGGGGCTCAACCTGGTTGCCTTGTCGCTGCACCTTAGCAGCAAAGCCCATGTGAACCGCTAGCTGCTTGCCCTACAACAAAACCTAAACCATCTAGACTCTAGACCTCTATTGAGAAGTTCACAAATCAGGCAAGGCCCAGACTAATTGATCTACAACAGGATCATCACAATACAGGATCCCACCTGCATGCCTCATTGGGGGCCAAGCACAGTGCTACGACCTAAACAGTCTTTCTATCGCAAGGAGACTTGTTGCTGCCAAGGTACGGGGCAATGCATCATAGCCCAGCCTTCACATCGATGCACCTTGTCTTGCGTGCTTGAGAGTGAGGGCACACAGCGCTAAAGACATGTGTTAAATTTATTGCGCTACTGGAAACCAAAGCACCTGAAATGGTACAGAGTAAGGAACTAGGTGCAGGCAGAACACTGACCCGTTTTCACATGGGTTTTTATCGTTTCAAATCTCGGCTTGGGCTTGCGTGTCTTACTCAGGAAATTTGTCTTCGGCTTTTTATTTCAAGCGCGGCTGCCATTACCCGGAGAAAGAGGAACAAGTATTAGGACAAGACTGGTGCATGTGCGGCACAAAATCTTCATGATAGACCGTGTCCCCCGTTTCCATTCTCTGACATGAACGTTTCTGCTGTTGTTACAATCACTGCCCTCAGGCTGCTATGATGATGGCAGCTGCTACAAATATCAGTTACTGCAACACCCCCTAGCCATTCTGTGCGGGTACTTCTCGCTTGAGACAATCTGAGGCTCAAAGACTTGGAGGCCAGATCCTTACGTCTGCTCGTGGCGTTCTCCTGTGGCAGCATATGTGCGCATGGGCCTGTGGAGCTTCAAGACATGGAATGAAGCATGGAGTGAAGACGCCGCGACAGGGTGAATACTGTTTGTACACGGTTTAGGGTTTAGGGTTGGTTTGTAAAGGATGTAGCTGTTATGTTCATGTTCGAGCTTTACCAGACAGGCTTGTCGCACAGGGTTTTCCTTGAGCGGTTTATTCTCTGCAGGTCTTAGGAACGTACGCTGGTTCAAGCTGATTGCACTTTAGAATTTCCCTGGCGTGTTCATTGACCTGTACCCATGATTCGTGTTTGTGTAGAGTCTGTTGAGCCAGCCGTGCAAAATGTACGGCAGGCCCTCAGCAAAGCCTCCTCAAAGGGGATTGTTGGCTGAACAAAGCGCGTGAGTGTGATGTCCAAAGCAAGCGCTTTACACCGTCGACATTAAAAGCTCTGCTGCTGAGAAATGCTGGCCTGGAGAAGGAGCCGCGCGGTACCACCAATCCCGTCTTGTCTAAACAGCACAAAATTCCTCGAATCGATTTGGTGATGTAGTGGCAGTTGAGGTTAGGTGCTGCAGGATGGCAGGAATTTGCGGGATGTTGAGAGGTTCCTATCCAGTCCATCTCGACCGACACCGTAAACCTGAAATCCAAATCTCCACGCCCTAACCTGCATTCCAAAAAAAAAAGAACAAAGCAATGAGCCCCAAAGCGTAAATGCCGCATACTGTACCTTCGCGTTAAGCACATTAAGGCGAATACCGGTGCACCGGGGCAAGTGAATATTGGCCCCAGGAGTGCTCAAGGACCTTGCATTCAAGTTGCCTAAGAGGTCCAAAAAGTTGAATTTTGGGTTAACCTTTGTGCTTTGAATCCACGACCTCCTTGCTTGGCTCCGCTCCAGAAACCACTAGGGTTTGCGGGGGTTCAAGGATACGTCTTAGCGCCTTGAACGTTGTTGACCAAGTGATTTGAAAGGTAAGGGGTCGAGGAGCCAATACCTACCCCGCGAAAGTAGTTTTCCTCAAGACTACATTGTGTATCCACACGCGGGGGAAAGGTGTGTATAAACCGTATACACACCCTTGAGTCCCTGAATTCCCCATACAAAAACACGTCCTTGCAATCCCAATCCAGAGCCCTAAGCCCTAAACCCCTAAACCCTAAACCCCTAAACCCTAAACCCCCAAACCCTAGATCCCTAAACCCTAAACCCCCAAACCTTAAATCCCTAAACCCTAAACCCCCAAACCCTAAACCCCTATATAAACC